CACTTTTGATATTTTTCCCAAGATATTTATACTGTAAATGATGTTACAAAAATTTATGGTAATTTATTTTAACTGTTTAATAATATTTCTTTAATTAATGACTATTTAAAGAATAAAACAAGGAAAAATACAAATAACCACTGAAAAATATATTTTATATTTTTCCCAGCCTATTTATGTATAATAACAATTAAATAAAAAGTTTGGGTAATTTTGGAAACTGTTTACTATTTATTTCAATTTTTATTGAAATAAATGCTCAAAAATTATAAAATATAATTAAACAGCTTGGAAATCCATTTTTATAATTTTCCCAGCTTAGTATTGTGTATTAACAGTTAAATAAAAAGTTTGAGAATTTTTATCCCTCGAATGCTATTTTTCGTGAATTTATGTTGTTATTGAGACTTAAAATTTGGAAAATTAACCTTCCAAGGTTGTAATTAATCGCACGACTTGTAAAATTTCAATACATCAGAAAAAGTGTAACAAAATGATATAAATCCAATACTAAAACATAAATTGGCATTTCCCTATATGTAGAGTTTAGTATATTAGCATTAGATATCGACATGGAAACTCACTAGTGCGTGTGTTTGGTGTCGTAGGATCCCGGTAGTAAGACGTTGGTGCATCCCGAAGTACCGCTTGTGTCTACACAAAACATCGTGAGTATTCACGCACTCCCCTATTTTCGTTTTTTTATGTTTTGGGGTGGAAAAGCATGTCCAGAAAAACTATTGTTTGCATGTTGTACTTAAATTGAATTGTATCAAACATGATTGCTATTGTATTGCTATGTTTCTTTATGTATGTCTATGCAACACGGAACATGAGAACTTATCGTACAAAGGCCCTTCCCTTATCTCTAACCATTAACTCTTTGAGCCAATGGTCGTTATGGATAGCGCTATTAGGAATTGACAACTCCTCACTCGCCCGAATCGCTGGAGTGCATGATACCATATTCATCTATGGAACGATAAGCATAGATCTCGATAGGGCTTCAGTCATAGGTTTGGTTGAGACTCATTGTTTGCTCATACACATACAAACGCGTTTCTCGTTATAGCAATAAACTTGTATTCATTAATAGCAATCAACTTGTTTATCATTGAAGCAATGTACTTGTATTTACGAAAAGCCTTATTGTACGCTCGATTTTATAAACTTGTGATACTCACCAACTATTTTCATAGTTGACGCTCGTTTTACATGCTTTTTCAGGAAATAATTAGTAAGTGGATGTAAAGATTCATCATCATAGAGCATGCTGCATCGTGTTGAAGCTATTATGAAGCTATATTTTGAACAATGTTATTTTGAAAAACTTGTATTTTGTTCTTTTGAAGCTATGGGTTGTAAACTTTTAAATACTGCTATGGTGATGTATCTTTATCTTTTGCAATGAAACCGTTATCGCTGTCATACCTTGCGTTTCCGCTTTAGCGGGGTGTGACACTAAACGTACTTGCTTGTAAGCCCAGCGTACTCACCCATTCATCCAAAATTGGATTTCAACCCTTAATCCCTTAAGATATAGCTCCAAAACATATATATGACTTCCTTGAGCTGGATTATCACGTAAAGTTGCTAACTTTAGGTTCATGCATGGCTAAATGAAGCTCTTAAGCTTAAAAAGGACTTTATAAGTGACTTATTGCATGTATGTGACCAAAAATCCCATAAAGCTTGCACCTTTATGCTTAAGGAGTCCATGACAAGCTCAGATCTAAAAGAACAAGCCCTTAAAACATCTTAACTCTTCAATCAACCAAAATGGGACCAAAAGAGATTGCAACAAGTGAGATGATTCTTGATCTATGACCTTCCTTCCAAGCAAAGCACCTTCAATCTTTAAATCTTCCTTCACAATGAGTAAAACAACCACTAAAATCCTCTCAAGGGCTCAAGAATACCACCAAGAAAGCTTAAGGGACGATTTAGGGTTTTAGGAGGTTTGGAGGCTGGTAAAGAGGCCAACCCTAGGGTTTTACGGTGTTTATATATGGTGCAACACCCTAAATTAGGGTTTCCATATTTCTCACATACGTCATGCGTACATAAATGTATGTTCAACGTATGTGTCCGAAGTCTCGTCCCCTCCTCGCATTAGTACGCCGTGCATACACTTTTCACAGCTTGTACGTTAAGCATACCATGTGGTACGCCCCGCGTACTCACTTCATAGCTTGTACGCTAAGCGTACCATGTGGTACACCCCGCGTACTGCCCAAGGACCAAAAATGCAACTTTTATAATAACATGGGCAATAAAGAAACGTACCAAGATTCAAGTATTACACTTATATATCAAGTATAGAATCCTTTCTAATGGAAGTACAACATATATCAAAGGTGGTTCATGCATGAACATATGTGAGTAGCGGAACATAAAGGTGGTTCTAGCTGTTTTTAATCCTAAACTAAAAATGGGGTTTTGATGGTTCTAAATAATTACTAATAGAACATAAACTAAGAACGAACTTATGATTACACCTTATTTTAGTTCTATCGTCTAAACTAGATATAGCTAAAATAATAGTGATAAGTGTAATTAAAACTTATTTTAGTTCTATTGCTACTTTCTAATTAGTAATTAATTAATTATTCATCATCACCGACTTCTTTGTAAACTCATCTAATTGCATTCGAGAATATGAGTCAAACTGAAAGTTACACATTGAAACCGTCAATTCTTGTTCCTTTGGAAGACGTCAATCAAATGGAATAAAGAACAATAAATATGGTAGTTAATGTAAAAGTTAAATCTTCTAATATGAGATGTTGGTGTGTTTTTAATCTTACTTTCCGTGTTGATTGTAATTTGATCACCTGATAAAGTAGTCCACGTCCTTGAAATTCATATTTTCCTGAATATCTATGTAATGTCAAAAATGTTTTAGTCATTTTTTTTGTGATGTTTTGATCCATACCAATCTATCAAGAAGTATACAACAATAGTTTGTCAGTGTTGTATTTTGAAATAATAAAGTTGAGTTTATTTTGGAAAAAAAAAAAGGTCTGAAATGGAAAAACTACAAAATGTAGGGTCTTTTACGAAACAAAAAAACCAATGCTCTATTAGACATGACTTTGGTGGCAATATCAAACCTCAAGTTTTTATGAACCACGTGTTTGTAAGGCGACAATTCTTTTTATATACTTAATATTTTTATATATAAGGCATCATTTTATTAAAGCTTAGCGGCGTTTTTAGATCCTTGCAAAAAACTATATTTACCTGTTGGTGACCTCTGTTGGTGACCTGCTAAGGTCTAAAACAACAAGTAACCGATAAAGTTTGGTCCTTTTCGGAAAAAAAATAGGCCTAAAAAGAAAAAAAATCAAAATATAGTGTCTTTTATGAAAATAACTCTTTATTTTATATATGTATATTATACCATTTAATATTTTATTTGAGTCTACAAATAATACAAACACAAATATGTGTTTTCTAAACCAATGTGTTATACTTAGTATTCTTCAAACTAACATCATGTATAAAAAATAAAACGAAAGATGATTTGTTATATAAATATCTAGGTTTAAACTTGTGGAAACCGTGGTTGAAAAAGAAAACACTATTGATAATTCAAAAATGTATTGAGTAATCAATGACTTGCAAAAATTTATTAATTTACAAAGAGAATGTTTTTTTCTCTAAGTTTATAACTATTAGTTAAAATTAATATATATATATATATATATATATATATATATATATATATATATATATATATATATTGGTTTGAATATCCGTTCGACATTCTGTATGTGTAAATAGTTGATAAAATCACGATTTTGTACAATACAATATAGCACTACTAGAAAAACAGTCTTTTACGACGCGCAATGCGTGTCGTAAAATGCTCAGACGACGCGCAAATGCGTGTCAAGGAAGGCCCTGTCATAACGAGAGACGACACGCTTTTGCGTGTCGTCTATTTACGACGCGCACTTACGACGCACATTTACGACATGCAATGTGTGTCAATGAAGACCCTGTCATAAAGGAAGATGACACACATTTACGTCTCGCATTGCGTATCATTAAAGTCCCTGTCAAGAAAGGCCATGTTGTAAATGAAGATGACACATTTTTGCGTATCGTAATTTCAATTGCTGAAAAAAATGTTGTTTATAGATTTACTAATTTTCAAATTAAATTTGTATTTAATGTCTCATAATTGAAAATAAAATATCATATAAAAAAATACAATCCATTGCATAAAATTTAATGTCATACAAATAATCGTTCCATGGAAAGATAAAACAAATCAAAAGAAGTTGTAACAAAAAATTACAAACTAATTACATACAAGAAATATGAAAAACTTGAAATCCCTGAGATTAATAGTTCTAACAAAAGCTTCACATGAGATACATACTGTTGGACCAGTAAGAAAGGATATTCCCGAATCGACAATAGTAGCTAGCACAAGAACACGTACACGATTACTTCTGCTAGAATTCACAACTATAGTTGCAGCCTTGCTCCTTCTTCAGAACTCATCTCTTGCAGCCATTGCTCTAAGCCTAGTTTGAATAGATACAACAGCTCCTTGTAAATGCTTGTATGATGTTCTTCCTGCACCTCCTTAAATACTTTTAAAGGACATGAAAAACTTAACTACCAAAGGAAAAGCCAAGGGCAGTAGATTCTCTGTTCTAATGGACATAATAATGTAAATAGTAAATACCATTTCAAGATCATTGTCTATATCTGCCTTGTCAAGGATAACCATAAAAGATCAAATCTTGATAGAAGTGTTGGAGGTAGATTTATGTTTTCAGCTGGAGTTCTGCGTAAATAGTAAATACCATTTCAACATTTATACATTTCTAGATATGCTGTAGAGTCTAATGGAGTCAATATTACTGAAGTGCTCAATTTCAAGACTTCGTGCACTATAAAACATTATTATGACTATATTTGATCCAATTAAATCAATATCCCAACCATACAAAGGTATAAATATACTATACTAATATGATATGTTATGTGCCTTTACAATGTCTCATTACTGCAACTATTGTAGCAAAATTGTCATCAGTTAAAACCATGTCTGAAGCACTCTAATAATAATGATTAGTAATTTGTTATATTATAACCATAAAGTCAACATAAGAAAGAGTTGACTAGTCAAAAAGTCAGAAAATATACTTTTGCAACTTTTATGCCTAAGCCCTTGGGAATTCCTATATCTGCCTTCTTTAATGTAGGTGCATCATTTACCCTATCTCCAGTCATGGCAACCTTCAAACAAAAATTCATTTACCAATTCTCAAAATGATTTTTTTTTAAATTGTACTTAAAATAGATAGGGTATTAGGGTAAGGTAACGAGTAATGAATGTTAGTCTTACATTGTACTGCAGTATATAGAATGATGAATCACTGGAAATTGCTAACATATCACCACTGTCTGCCCAGTAAAGGTTTTGGAAACATATACAAAAATATTATAATATCATTTATATGTTCATGTTGTTTACATCTAATTAAAAGAGGTACAAGTTGGTTACCTGGACATTGACATCGATCCTTTGAATCAATCTACACTCAGCCCAATCATAGAAACATATAAAATCATTTAAGCACATGAAATTCTCTTTTTTACTACTTATGATCCTTGCTTTACTTATATTGTCCCCCTGACCCTGTCCCTGGTGTGTCAACGGTGGGCCTAAACAAATTGCTAATTCAAAAACTATTGCATTCATCGAGAAAGTGAGAGTAATAATCTAGTTGGAAATGTTCAAATATTACAATCATACCATACCTGAAGGAAGCTCTTTTTTTATGTTTGACTTTGAATTATGGATGCCGAAACCCCACCCCACATGTGACTGCTAGTGGGACCATAGTGTACCTGAGAAGTAGGAGTTTCCCCAATTCTTTCATTTAGCAATTTCAGTACCTTTCCTTGAGAAAAAGGAAACTCATGCACAACTGTGGAGTGACTTCTGCTAGTTGATTCAGCTAAATCTCTATGAGTTTCTGATACATTATTTTCAATTTGTATATTAGAGCTTGATTCCAACGTTAAGTTGCAGTCCAGCAAACCACCTGAATTTGACAAATCACAAATCACAAATTAATGTCTCAATAAAAGAGCTGAGGAACATGTTTACTCACTAACCTCCAAAGAAGAGGTATACTTTGAATTTGAAATGTCATAACAATTCATAGAAAATATGTGTATTTGTTATAGAATCTAATATATTTTTTGTAATAAAAAAGATTTCTTGTGATTGTGAAAAGTTGGTAGTTCATCTATTTGATTCTACCTCATCTTTTTTTGGGGGTGGACTTTTTGGTTGGATGGAATGAAAAAGAAATTGAATGGAATGGGAAAAAAACAATGTAATGGAATGGCTAATTAAATTCCATAATTATGTTTGGTTGGCTTATAGGAATGCAGTGAAATTTCATATGATTTTCTACACCATACTTTATTTAGTTATTGTTAATGAACTTTTTATTTATAAAAATAAATAAAAATAAAATTAAACATAATAAAAACTCATTAAAATCCAGATAAAATTATAATTAAAAAAAATCATAGAGTAAATTAAATTTTGGTCCCTGAGTATTAGCTAATTAAAGTTTTCTTTTGCATTTTTTATCCTTAATTAAGGTTTTTGTAAAGCTTTTTGTTCTTGTTCCAAGTAAAATGGCTATACTATATTAGTGGGAGCAAAACTGAAAAAATCAGTTATACTCAGGGACCAAAAGCAATAAATATAGTAAGTAAATAGAAGTCCCTTTGACTTTGTTCTTTAATTGCAAACATATATCATGAAATCCTCTCAAACCATTACAAAACATAGTAAATATACTTAATAAAAAGCTCCTTAAATGCAATATGATATCATGAAACTAACACTTGCAGGTTAAAGATCAAAAAAACTACATCAGACCCTAAATTTTTTATGCCACTTTTAGCAATATACTTAAATTAAAAAAACATCAGACCTTAAAAAGGTTAAAACTATAATTTATTTAAGTGCCCCATTTAGCAATGTACTCACAAAGTGCAATGCTTTAATAAGAAACATAAAACCAAACCAACACCTATGTGCGTACAATGAGATTTTATAACATCAAAACATATTTTTAACAAAAAAGGATCAAAATAAAGTTTTTAAAGATTAAGGTTAATTAATAAAAGTAATTGAATGTACCTTGTTATTTATTGAAATGTGATGATGATACGTTCATCACACCAATCTCTCAAACTATGATATATTTACCTATAATACCAAAATCAAGAAAAAAAAAATATTATTCTTGTCAACAATTTATAGAAAAATTGCTTCTTATCTGACCAAAGTAAAGCAAATTAAAAGTGCATCTTTTAGGTTTCAACAAAGTAAAACAAATAAACATAATTAAGTGGAGTCAAATGCAAAAATGTATCTTTTATCACATACATTCTCTCTCTCTGTCCAACACAGTCAACTTTCACAAAAAGTATTGTTTAAATTCTCACCACACAACACAGACTTAAAGCCCTTGTTTTAGACATTTAATAAGGCTACCACTTACCAATTCCTTCATGAACAGATAAGTTGGGCCTGATAACTGTCACACCCCTAAACCAAGGATGGCGGAAACATCCGGGGTGGTGGACTTCATGTGTAGTATCATAACAACGAGTATAATAGTGTTCAAAGTAAATACAACCATCATAAATATAATTGAAAAGTTACATCGTAGTATGTGTTCACATATTCTAAAATCAATTACATTATGATGACAAAATGAAATGTTTGACGTCTGAGCGTCCCATCCTGAAAAGCTGTTGTTTATCTGATTCATTGATTTCCTAAGAATACAAGTAGTTTCAAAAAAGTGTCAACAATTAAGTTGGTGAGTTCATAAGCTTTTGAATGTGATGGTAAAATCCTTTTCTTTGTAAATATGATATTTGTTCAAGAAAAATCCAATATTTCCCTTATAAAACGCGTTATAGTCTTAAAATTTAAGACCGAAATGTGCAAGTATCTTTCCATACTTAAAGAAATTTTATGCAAGTTTAAATTTAAAAGTAAAAACCTATAAATCTTATGTTTTTGTTCATACCACATGTGAGTTATTATAACCATACTATGACTCAGACGGCCTCGTAATACGGCATTCTTCAGGTGTCGCAAGTTAAATCACACTTGTCACCTCAGACCTGCCAGTCTAGCTGTTGCATGCAGCTCAGGTCTGGGTTTGTCAGACCTAATATAGATCTATACACAACTATCACGTTCTCCCTACAAAAGACTCTGGTTACAATTTACAGGACTTTTGATTTCATTACTTAGATGTAACATGAAGCGAATGTCTCACAAATTTATTCATTAACAGATTTACGTGAACTGAAAACCTTAGGTGAAGAGTTTGAAATGTAATGAAACATAAACTATACATATTATAATTTATTATAGTGGTTTATAATGTAAAACGAACATAAACTATACTTCCATAGTTTATCAAATGTTTGTATACAATGGATGTAAACTTTATTTATAACAATTAATTAATTACCATACTTATGAAGGTAAAAATCCATTTGTTTTCTGATGTATGTCAATAAATTAAAACGAAATGACATGTAATGTAAAAACATATATTCACATAATGATACACACCTTGCTCAACAAGTTACAAGGTGCAAATGAAATTGATAGCATTTTTCTAGTGTTAGCATTTCTATTACTGTTCTTAGAAAATTTATAGAAAAATCATCATTGGTTCAAATCAGAATCCGTAAATTCTGAGAGTTTGGAAAATGAGTCTAGTTTGTTCATAAATTTTATTATGATTTTTAGTGACTTCCAACTTGTGTGAAAAAGTCCATAATCACATACTGGTCCGGATTTGTTCTTGAAATGATAGGCAATTTTGTAACAATCACCATAAATTGTAGAAAAATCGTATGGAGATGTGCAAGTAGCCATTTTAAAGGTATAAACCTGAACAATTTGCACCTAATACAGTTTTGAAAACCAAGATGTTTAAGTTGACCAAAACAGTTTGTGAATGGAGTTAAACTTTTCTGATTAAAGCTGTTGGATGAGTTTAATTGTGTTCTTGGTGTTTTAACTTGTATCCCCCCCCCCCCCCCCCCGTTTAAAACTTAAGAAAAACGTAAAAAGATAGGGGTATGAACTCACCTTGAGTGATTTCCTTAGATGTATGATGAAGAGAAAGGGTTTCTAAGTCAAAAACACTTGATAGAAGCTTGGAGAGTTGAAGATCTAAGAACAATTATGGTGACATTGGTTATGAGAGATTCATAAGTAGAGTGAAGGAGTAAAGAATGTTCAATGTTGGATGAGAATACTTACTGAATGAGGGTGAGAAGTTCAAAGGCAACCTTGGAGTCTCGAGTTCTTAGAGACGGAAATGAGAGAGAAGTGTTTGTTTCTTGGTGAGAGTGTGAGTAAAGTGGAATGAGAGATAGGAGTTTCCAACTTTTAATCAAGTTACCAGCTGGAGGAGAGATGTGAGAGGACAAATAGTTGACTAGGTAGGGGTGAATAGTGATTGGGGGTTGTCCTAAGTGGGTATGGGGGATAGCTTGTGTCACACTCTAAGGGAAATCAACACTTTAACACAGTATCTCACCCAATAGATATAATCCTTGGTTTACGATCATTTCCCAAAATATGGTTTAAAATATGATAATATAAGGTCATATATATAAAAATATAAGTTTGGAGTGTTTAAAATTATAAAAATAAATGTCTGAGGAAATTTACTGAGCAAAAATCACTTGAAAACACTAAAAAGTCCGAAATTGAAGAAAATTCGGAGTCATAAGGTGAAATCCGGAGTCATAGTGTAATCTCCGAAGCTCTACATCAAATTCCGGAGGGAAGGGTACATCCTACGAGGGTTCGAAGTGAGTACAAGGGGGGTTTCAGAGGTACTGGGCGGGTTCCGAAGTCATTCCTTACTTTCGGAGTTAGGTGCGCGTTTGAGTTGGTCTGGGCCGAGGATGCGAGGCTAACTAGACTTTCGAAGCAATGCGAGGTAAGGTCTTCCGGAGTGATGATCCGAAGATCCGAACATGGTGCATCCGGAGCGAAGCCTTCCTGAATCCATTAGAAAATCCGAAGCAAACATGGTGCATCCGGAGCGAAGCCTTCCGGAATCCATTAGAAAATCCGAAGCAAAAGGGTTCCGAAGGTATGCTTCCTCTTCGCTTCTAAGAAGGCATTGCGGACCAAGAGGGTTCTGGACCAAGAGGAGTCCGAACCAAGAGGGTCCTTTTGGGGGTTTCTTCTTCTGGTTTTGAGCTGTTTTTCGACTGAGGAAGGTACTTAGGAAGATTTGAGAGATTTGAGCTACTTGGAGAGATTTGGGAGAGATTTCACATACTTGGAGAGATTTGGGAGAGATTTCACATACTTGGAGAGATTTCTCATACAGAGAGAGATTTGGGAGAGATTACACACACTTGGAGAGATTTAGGAGAGATTTCACATCCTTGGAGAGATTTGAGAGAGATTTCACATACTTGGAGAGATTTAGGAGAGATTACACGCACTTGGAGAGATTTGAGAGAGATTTCACATACTTGGAGAGATTTGGGAGAGATTACACACACTTGGAGAGATTTGGGAGAGATTACACACACTTGGAGAGATTTGGGAGAGATTTCACATCCTTGGAGAGATTTGAGAGAGATTTCACATACTTGGAGAAATTTGGGAGAGATTTAAGATTGAGAGAGATAGAGCGAGGGAGATCGGGAGAGACTTAGTTTGTGACCTTCGCGAGTGTTTAATTTCGAAAGGCAAAGTTTGTACACCTCGTTTAGCCTCATCATGGGTGTGATATGTCCCCGTAGGGTATGAAATAGTGTTCTACCGAATAGTTTCATCACTTACCCCGATTAGGGTTTAGAATTTCTGAACGTACGAACTTTCCAAGTGATAACTTCTTATTAGAATAGCAAGTTCAACAACTTTAAGCATAAGGAAAACCCTAATATACAAGGGTTAGATGAGTTGACCGGTTTAACCCGTTGACTTTATTTGACTTTGACTTGACCAGAAATTGACGTTTGTCACAATAACATCCTTTGAATTGACCAAAAAGATGTCACCACTATAAATATGGTTTGTGTTATATTTTCGTTTTTTTGTTTTTTTTTTTTTACTAAAAATGGATAAATCAAATCACTTA